AAAAAAAAAAAAAAGGGATTTTAGAAATATTTATGCTTGCTGAGAAAATAGCAAGGAATGAAGAGAAAAAATGTGTTTCTACTCTTTAATAATCAAAAGAAAATGGATGAGTTTTAATCAGATATAATACGGTATGTCATCTCATCAAAATTTAAACCCCAGTAATTTATGTGCAAAAGTTTATGTATAACTATCTAACCCCGCTGCTGCTGAAATAGTGCAACTTTTGATTGCAAACTCAATTTATTTGTAGCTCTTGAATCTATTTTTAATTGTAGTAGATCTTGTGGTTCATATTCAACACATGGAGCTGCTGTAAGTTTGCCAAAGCAACCCCCTAACCCATTTTATTTACCAACAAAATTATTACCCTTCTATTCAGAACTTCACACTCAAATTTACACTAGCAAAGCAAGAAATTCAGTGGGACAGATACAAAAAAAAAAAAACATATACGCGGACCAAACAACACCAATCAGCACAACCTAGGCATGGGCCCAGAGTTGTAGTGAGGGCCAAGCTTCACCATTCTCGCCATTTGACCCTTCATTTCTCTACACACTTTCTCCAACTCCACCACTTTCCACTGCATCCTCTCCAAGTTCACTCTCATTTCCTCTCCTTCCGGCAAGCTCTCTGCGTCTGAAAACCTTTCTAAACCATCTTCTTGTTTGTACAAAACGAGCTGATGCTCATTGTTATTGTCTTTGCTGCTGCACCTTGTGCTTGAACAGTCTTCCCCTGCAAATTCAATTGTTTGTATGGATGAGTGCTGAGAAGCTAGTGCTTGAATCGCGATTCTTGGAGGTATCCTTGGGTTCTTGGCAAGGTCTTTGCAGGCTTCCAGGCTTAGCTTTCTGTAGTTGAGGCATCGGCACAGTCTTGATCGTTCTTCCAAGGAAAGAGATGGGTGGGACTGCAATCACATTTCAAGAATTACTGAAAGTTGAAAAATCAAAATAATTAAAACAAAAGAAAGTCACGCTTTTTAGAGGTTAATGCCAATCTGGGAAATTTTCGACACAACACTTCCAATTCAATAAAAAGCAGTTTTACTTAAATTGTATATGGCCATTTTTTCAAAAGAACCTTAAATGGTGTATCCATATCGGGTTGATACAGTTGTATTTTCATATGGCCCTTCAAATTGATTTGCATATTTATTTTTAAAGACATTAATGTTTGACAGAGGAGTGAAAACCCAATGACTACAATTACTTCATGTTGCAGTTGAATACTGTTATTAAACTATTTGTTGAGCCCCAAATCCAGGCTGTGAACCTGCCTGTAGATTTTTATTTGAACTTACTGGGAATATTTTATCAGACAACAAAAGCTTTAGCCAAACTACTAACTTGAATATTATGCATCTCTAAATGCTCAGATGATGACAATAAGTAGCTATTCAATAGTTGTAGCTTTCACAGGTGAGCATAGCACATGAAACTGGAATAGAAGACAAAAGATACATGCAAAATGCATTTTGGCACACAAAACTTTGGTATTTTTAGGCTTGGACACTATATACGAAGATTCAACGCCCTTCACTAAATTGATGCTTATTTTTCGGTAACATATATTGTGTGTGAGGCACTCTTATCACTTGGAAGCTGAGAAGGGTAACTCCAGCAAATTTTTTGGAACCTAAACCATTCATTTGAAGTTGAAACACATGCAAACTTCGAAGAGAATAAACAATCCCCCTTGTCTTATGTAACATTTCTTTGCATTTGTTTTTGACTCTTGTTATTTATCCCCCCTATGACTATGACTCCAGCCCCACACCAATAATTCACCATCTCCTTACCCAAGGAAAAGATAATATGGATAAGAACATGGACATCCAAGAAATATCAATATTAGGATAATTAAAACACCGCCCCTCGAAGCTTTGCTTATAGTTACAGAAAACCTAGCTATCTTAAATATAACCTTGGTATATATTTCTATAGTTAAACAAATAAACTAAGACAACTTCAAAGGGGTGTTCATAATTGGTAAATATAACTAATATTGTAATTAAGCTAAGCAATACAGCTCGTTTTTTAGTGAAAAAACCTAGCTATCTTAAATATAACCTTGGTATATACTTCTATAGTTAAACAAATAAACTAAGACAACTTCAAAGGGGTGTTCATAATTGGTAAATATAACTAATATTGTAATTAAGCTAAGCAATACAGCTCGTTTTTTAATTTTCACATTTATCCATTGAGCAGAGAGAATATTGTAAAAGTAAGGAAGTTTAGTCACCTCAAGATAGATGTCAATTGCTCTGTACACATAATCAAATGAATCCCTTGCACAATCCGGCAGGCCCTCAGCCACACCAAGAAACTTTGAAACTTTAAGAATCGGGTCTGGGGCAATCTCCCCCAAGTAAAAATCAATCAACTCCCCAACTCTCTTCATCTTCTGCATCGACACCTCATCACCGTAATGAACAAACAACCGAAGCAACCGGATGACGAAGCCCACATCATAAACCCCCCGGCTCTCTCCTCCTGTCACCAACAAATCATCCAATGTGGCCCGGTCGAGCATCGACCCAATCAGCCTCTCCAGCGAGGCCCGGTTCCTTCTGCTCGGCCCGAATCGTGAAATAATCTGCAGTGCTGAAAAAAGTCCTCTGCAGGAAAACCCAGTTTTCCCGATGAGAACCACCCCATGGGTTGCGGTGTCAGCCAGGTTGCTGTAATCCGCAAGAACAATTTTCCCACCATTTGAAAGGATTGCGGTTTTTAGATAATGAAGGAGGAATCTCGTTAGGACTAAATTGTTATTTTCGGTACCATAGCACCCTAATGCGCGAAGGAACTGCTCGATGGTCTTTGGGCCCAAAATCATCAAATCTTGAAACCACCAGGGTCGGCCTCTGTTCAGTGTAGAATTGCTACAAACACCTTGCGAGCTGATGTCGTGCGCCATCTCCGGAGATGAGGAAGATGAAGACGACGAGACTGAAAGGATATTAGAATCGGAATACTGTGCAATCTTGGCTAGAAGAGAAGACATGAGCCGGTCCACGAGGCCGCACGACTCCGCACAGGTGAAGAAGGGCTCGCAGTTCTTGAGGCAGGCGAGGATTTCGCGCCAGGACCAGTAGAAAATTCCCTGAAGAAAAACCTCCGTCTGGTGGAAAAGGTTGGCGGGGGCGGCGTCCTCCGTCATCTCGAAAAACACCGCGCAGCAGTGGAGAAGGGAGACGTTGCCGACGGTGATTGAAACGGCGCCGTCGTTGTAGCAGAATCTCGCTACCAGCTCGAACCCGAGGGGCCCGCCAGGGAATCCATTAATCTCGATCCCGGAGGTCGTGACCTGGGTTTTGCTCTTCTCCCGTTTGATTATCTTCCTAAGTTTCCCGGAGAACTTGGACAGGATTTTCTGCAAGCACGGAAATGGAGGACTTCAATTAAGTATCAGAATTGCATACTGTGACATAGATACTGCTCGTTACGGACATAATTAATGATGAGTACCTGGGAGAGGAAGAAAGTGCGTTGGCCATTGACATGAATTTGCAGGTCGCAGGGTTCAACTGACATGGCGAGCTGCTTAGCATTGAACGAAACAGTTTCGAAAGCAGTGCAAAGTTAATGGGTGGTTTATAAAGAAAAAGAATCTTGTGTATCTATTTTGTAGTGCAGCATCACGAGTGAAATAATGAATGAATTGTGGAAGTATTATGCTATGAAGATGATGGTGAAAAACGGGAATTGTTGTTTCTGATGATGACAAATAGCTGACAGGTTTTGTGTGCCCCCAATACCATTTCTTGCCTGCCTATTTGTTTATTCCAAATTGATGATGCACATTGCTCACTACATTATTAGCCAAATTCAAAGGTTTGTAGCGGTTGGAAGGCAAAGCCAACAGAATATGCTAAATTATTTCTTTCTTTCTTTTTTTTTTTCTTTTTCCCCTCTCACAAGTGTCTGCATTTTTTTCATATTTTTGTGATTTCAGAAATTTTATTGGATTGTAAAATGATTTTATTGAGTATATTGTTTAGTTTTGAATGTATTATACAATTCTATAAACAATTGAAAGGTAGAAGAAGCTATGTAGTGCCCCATTTGATTAAAAAGAGATATCTCGTTTTATTGATTTTTGAGTGCATTACATTTAATTTTCTTATGCTCGAGTAAGTTCTTTAAGATTAATTAGACGTCCTCGTCTATTTAATCCTTAAAGGCCTCATTTACTTTGCAGGATGAGATAAGATAAAATAATCAAGACAACTTTGCACGTCAGCATTTAGTCCAGTGTTTACGTTTCAGGATGAAATTTGCATAAACAAATCCCTCATTTACTTCCATGGATTAAGTGAGATGATGAACAAACAAAAGACTACATCACCCTTCTGTACGAAATCGATTTCATCATTCTCCCCCGATCACATTGTACTCATCTTCTGAAAAATTATTTTGCCCTAATTCAGCGGAGGACGTGCACGACGACGAGAGGCGACAATGTTGCTCCCGACGAGAAGCCGCGACTACCTGAATTCGACTGTGGACGACGTCCTTTCGAGAAAGACGGGTGTGGAATATATACCCCCGACGGCCGTGCAGTGAGGGCTACGACCTTTTTCCTGGGATCCGCATATAGAAAAGTCACATGAAAAATGAAAAAAAAAAGAGACAGATTTCAAAATTGTATTCTGACTTCTTGAAAGAGTCAATTATAAACCAAATCAAAACCCTCAGTCCATTTAAAAAATGCACTTTCAACCTGTTGACGAGCATTTTCGGTCAACGGTTAAAAATTAAGAATATCGAAAGCGAGACTGAAAATGGGAGA